AGTCATTCCGTGAAGCCGCTCAATCGCAGCGGTCTCGCGCGACACGGCATCAGCTTCACAGAGGCGCAAAAGCTCCTCCGCACGCTCCACGTGGCGCAGCATCGTCTCCTCCGCGTCCTCGGCGCCCACAACCGCCGTTTCAAAGTCCTCGGCAAGCCCCTGCATCAGTGACTCAACGATCCGCTTCGCCGCGCACACCTCCCCCAGCTCCTCCTCCAGCGTTTCCAGCCGCTGCACAAGCAATTCCTCACGGGCCCCGGCGTCCGCAATTCGTGCCTCCAGCTCAGCAAGGTGCCGCTCCCTCGACGCAACCTCCGACCGCACAACATCCACCCGCAGCAGCAACTCGGAAAGCACATGCCGGGTCGTCTCTTCCTCCCGCTTCGCAGCCGCAGCGCGCTCCTGCAGCTGGCTCACGCGTTCCTCAAGCTCCGTCTCCAGGCGCTTTCCGGCTTCTCTCTCGGTTGAATTGGGTATGCAAAGATGAGTACCACCCAAGTCACATGCAGCACCGCGAGTAGGATCGATTGACCTTTCCTTGCACCCCTCTTTACAACGAGAAGGCTCACGGAGAGATGTCGCAGGTGGTAGAAGGGATCGTCGAGTTTGGTGATACTGAACAAGTTGACACGATGATACAGGTCTCACAAACCTCCAAAAAACAGAAGATCCATGGCAAAAGTGATAGCGCACACCATCAACCGCGCCATCCGCCAAAGGACGGCAACCGTACACGCAGTTGTGATAGTTCTCCTGGTGCAGGCTGCGTGCGTCGGCCACGCAGGTTATCAGCGTTAGGCTGCGCACCTCCTGTGACGGCAGAAGGTGATGGAGCAGCCAGCAGGGCCTGTCGTGGGGCACGGGGTGCCCCGACATAAGCTCCCTCAGCACATGCATGTCGCTCTGGAAGAGAAGGTTGCCTTGGCTTAGCTGCGGCAATAGAGCAATAGTGAATGCACCTGACACCGACGCGTCTGCTGCCTTGGCAAAGAGATTAACGACGACAGAAGCATGACCTTCAGGGACCGCACAAGCCAACTGCAGCGAGGCAGCAAGGCACGTATCATCGCGAGAGCCCACGACGTTGTGCTGCAGGTGAGGGCGGCAGCGCTTGTCCGCGTCGTGCGCGGAGATGCCAACGGGGCGGTTGCACACAACCTGCTGGTTCAGCACGTCCGTTACGCCCCACGAGTACACGCGCACCACGCTGTAGTGAAGCTGCACGTGGCCCACACTCCTCTCCGCAAGCACGTCGAGGGCGTGGCCAACCGCCGAGAGCACCACCGCGTGGAACAACTCCTCCGCGTGCCCGCGGGGCGACCCGTGAATGACGGCCCCGTGCATCGCATGCGGAGGGGCGTCGCGGGTGTAGGGGCAGCCCCCGCCAAAGTTCTCCGCCACGCGTCGCGCCAGCACGGACTCGTACAGCGTGGCGTGGAAGGGGTGGTACGTCACACTGTCGAAGCAAAACCGCGACGCGCCCGTCAGACCGTCGCGGAGAACGACGTCCCCCGTCGCCGCATCAACGTCGACGCCGTCCGCTCCATCATGCGAGGGGGC